TATCATAATTATTTTTTAAAATTTATATCACCATGTCTCATTCAAGGGAGAACTAGAGATATGACCAGATGTATATCTGTTGAATATAAAATATGTACATGTATACTGTGTTTTTTTAGTAATTTGTTTGTTTGTTGTGACAGCAACTGTTATGGCAGCTTTTGGCAAAGGTTGAAGTTTCTCAAATGTAAGTCAAACTCCAAGGTCAAGGTCAAAGGGTCAAAATTGTTGGTATCAAAGGGAAAGTCTTGTCACAAGGAATACACATGTGAAAAAAGAGAGAAATCCCTAGAACTTCCTCACCTGTTCAAAAGTTATTGCCAAGGTTAAAGTTAAATTGGGTTCAACTCTAAGGTCTAGGTCAAAAATAATTATACCTGTTGAAAGTTCACAATGATTACACATGTTAGAGCATGAAAGTCCTAGCACCACCTGTTCAAAACTTAGGCCAAGTTTAAGGTATTTTTCTTGTAAAAGTGGGTCAAACTCCAAGGTCAAGAGATTAAGAGGTCAAAATTGGTGGTACCCATTAAAAGGTTTTGCCAAAAGAAATTTACCTATGAAATATTGAAGCCATGTGTATAGCCCAATCCACTTAAAACTTATGAGCAAGGTTAAAGTTTCTGTGGACAGACAAACATACATAAACATAGGAAACAAAATATGTATATATAGTCAAATGAAAAAATTTTCTATTATTATGGAGTCATAAGATCAATTGTCATTTCAGGTACAGGGAGTCAGTGGCTAGGGAGATCAGACACCCCCCCCCCCCGGAATTAGCAGTTATTTAAATAAGACTATGTACTGTAGAGAATAAAAATGACTTTGGACATCCTCCCCCTTAGAAAACAGGGACTCCACCATCATTGTTTTTATTATTATTTTTTATTTGCTTCTCAGGAAATCTTGGGCTGATTTTTTTGACTGAGGTGTGACACCCCCTCCCCTTTTCTGAAAAAAAAAATTCTGGATCTGCGCCTGTATATACTGAATGTCCGCAACGGGAGATAACTTGACAATGTGAAATTTGTCGACTGTGGCATGCGATGATCTTTGACCCTTTTTGAACTTCAACCTAACCATTTGCATTTATTTATTTTTATGCAATCTATACTAAATCTTGTACTTACCGAATGTCATAGGTCGTGACAACGAATTCATGAAATATAATCCATATAATCCAATTAAAACACAAATGATTTTAACTGACCACACTGCATCGTCAGCATACATGTGCTAAATAATCTCATTCGACAAACCTTTGCTGATTCCGTTGCCAGTATGAATCGGCCGAGGTGTGCCGAGAGGTGATATCTATAAATATGATAATGGGTGACGCAAACCCAATATGAATGTAGAAAATAAGATGTTCACACGTAAAACTGTTTAGTACAAGAACAAATTTCAAACTATCATAATAAACTATGTTTAACATAACTTTGCCATCTAGGTCTATTTTAAAAAAATGTGAGAGTGAGAGTGTGTGTGTGTGTGTGGGGGGGGGGGAGAGAGATGGGCATTGACAAATTAATCGGGTTGTATTTTCAATGGGTTTTTTTCCCGACCAAGTACTAAAATCAGTTTGCACATTTTGATAAATTCATCAAAAACGCTTTGTACTAAAATAATATGTCGTTGAGAAAGTAAATTTAAAAAGTTCCAAATTATGGGCAAAATATTTATCTGAATCTAATTAAGTAATTTACTTCAATCATTAATTAAATTCTGTTATTTCAGACTGGTAATGAATTAAGTATTCAAAATACATATGTGAGGCTCATAGATCATATGGTCACCTGAAAATTTTATGTTCAATTTGACGAATACATGTACGGTGATAATTATAGAATTATTTTGACTTCTTCCTTGGAAAGTCCAATATGAAGGAGTGTGTATTTAGATGCAAACATAATAGTGCGGGTATTACTGTCTCATGACAGCATCTAGTGTTATCTTTCGGTTACATTTTTCTGAAAATTCTGAAACATTTCATAGCAAACTTTAGTTTTGAAACGAAACGAATGTTTACTTCTGTTCAAGGCACCCGATACAAACTGTAGATATTAAGGGAATTTGTGTTTTATGCACTTTTCTTAGATTTGTTTTAGTAAGATTGACCTAACATTTTACTTCAGTTTTTTTTTTAATGGAGGACTAATGAATATAAAGTTAAAACATAGGCGTATCATTAGCGATATACATAGTCCAAGATGTACTTTTTTTTGTCAGTTTGATAAGTGTACCTTTCATAAATAATCTAGAATTCACACATTTCATTTAATTAATGTTGCATCTGAAACAAAATATGCATCCTTTGAGATACATAATGATTCTTAAAAGTAAGGAGTGGTCATTTACTTTGTAGATTACTTTGTCTTCCTTTTGGTACTTGCAGCTGCTTTTAATCTGGCTATTCATTGCTATTGAATAAAGTATAAACTGATTTCAACACAAAAATAGAGATTCTGCATTGAGATTTAAGAACAGAAGAGCAGGATAAACCACTTGTTTTAAAATTGATTAAATTTAATCTGAACAAAAACATTTCCTGGTCCACTATAGAAATGCTATTTAGTCTATAAAAAAATCCTTGGAATCATTTCTTTTTGTTTACATTTTGTATATTACATCCACAAAAGATGATTTATTGTGCTAAGTAAATGTCCATCTTAACATTTTTGATTTTTGCAAGCAATTTTAAGTGATTGTATACATGCATAGCTTAAAACAAAGATCATGGTTTCCTGAGTAATTCAGGCAAACTGAAAATAACTGCTTTGTAAATTTTAGTGTGTTGATTATTATAACAAATCAATCCCCTTTCTTTGTTGACTAGACAACTTTCCGGCTATTGCACAGGAAAACTAAAGAACCCACTTAAGTGTGCAAGAATTTGAAAAAGTGAAGGGTTTTATTTCTATTTGATGTCTTCATTGATAATCATGTTAAAAAATGATTTCATGTCCTTTTTATTCAAAACGGTTTTAAGAATCCTTTTACCTTTCTCATTGTGTTTCAATAAACCTATGAAAACATTGTTTTGTTTATTTCTATGACTCGCTGGATTCCAAGTATGAAAGTACTTTTCAATATAGTTCTCTCTACCGAAGAACAAAGACATTAAGATATCTTACCAAAGAGTTATATAATCTTTTGTAACTGTATAAATTAGAATTCAAACCCTTTTTCATAACAAACTCTGTATCAGTTAGGAGGGCGGAAGGCCATGGTCCAGAGGATGAGTTTTTATGATGTTCATTACATACTTAGAAAAAACTTACTCCACACTTTCGCAAATACCAATAAATATTCACATATCAGCTACATGTACTTGTACCATTTTTCAAGAGACTGAAACATATTTTTACAGGGTTTTTGAACGGAATATATATTTTTCTTACCACGAATACTGCTTTGGTAAGATTAAGTCTATAAATGGTGAAAAATATTCGCATCACACCTGCAAATCTATATCAGCCCTGTAGGATACGTTTTTTGACCTTAAGAATACGTATAAGTCCGTTTAGAAGGATATGGAGATAACGAACAGTATTCAATCTCAAAGTCCATAAAACAATACAAAATAAGAGCAGAGCAAACACGGACCTCCGAAACATCAGAGGTGGGATCAGGTGCCATGGAGGAGTGAGCATCATCCCTGCTGACCGGTCACATCCGCCGTGTGCTCCTTGTCATGATCAGGAAAAATCGGGAAAATCCGTCGTCAATTCTGTGTATAAATAATGGACTAACAATTAGTTTGAAAAACGTCAGTCAGCATTTGACTCAATGATAAATTGTATTTGCTGACAAGGTCATTGTATCGACCGTAGATCTTACAAAATGATGACTTAAACGAGACGGCTGATATTCTTGTATCATCAACTTGCTTGTCAATAATTTACCTCGTTTTAGAAATTGTTCATACGTAGAGCAAGCTCTTGCGTATCGAATCAACTGAGATATATATACTCCGTATGCAGGTGATGAAGGTATATTGCTGCATAAGTAAGAGAAGTTGACGATAGAAAAGTTGAAGTCATTACGTTTATCATATAGCTTGGTTGTTAGATTACCATTAACGTCTTTTTCAAGTAAAATATCCAAGTATGAAACAGATGTGTCAGACTCTGTGGTATCTTTTATCTCAAGCTCTCCTGGATATATCGTATCGACGTAGGAATGTTAATTACCATTGTTAAATGACAATACGTCGTCGATATATTTAATGTCGAGTTGAAGGCCACAGCAAGTGTTTTCTTCTTTTCACACATAAGATTTTGCACAAATTCTGCTTCATATGAATATAAAAATAGGTCCGCTAATAACGGAACGCATATTGGTACCGATGGGAATTCCAATAGATTGTTGGAAAACCTGGTCTCCAAAAACCACATAGATATTGTCAATCAGAAACTCAAGCATTCTTTGATGTCAACTTCAGAGTACTTGTATGTGCAATCATATTAATGTGTTTTAACAAAACAATTTTGCAAATGACCAATGACCAGGTAAGTAAATTTACGAGTTCCATTTTTATTTCAAAAAACGCAGCTGTCAATGATATCAAAAAGCATGGACGTTAATTTATCGTGAGGAATGGATATATATAAAGTTGAAAATTCGTAAGTTTTTAAGCTGTTGATTTTGGTCAAATCTTGTGATTTTAAATTGTCCAAAAGTTCTTTGGAGATTTTGAGTATCCACATCTGATTCACACCACTTCTTGAATATATTGTTGCACAGTACTCCTGAAGTTTTTCCTTCACAACTGTCAAAATCTTAGTGAGGAGTAACGAAAGAGGCTTCGTTGAACATTTACTGGAACCCGCAATGTATCTTTGTGTGTAAGGATTTTTATGAATTTCCGAATCCAATATATACAGGGAAGTTCAAATTCCTTTTGGCTCTGTGGAATATTAAAAATATTTAAAACTGACATATAAGTCTTGGAAGCCGTAAAGGTTCATATAGCTATTTTGACATTGGGCATATAAGATATGTTTAAAAAACTGTATTTATTGCTGATTTTGTAATAGATCGATGAATTATTTTAAGTACAAGAGAACATGCTTGACATAAGTAAATGCAAGATTGTTATGCAGGAAATCCGGATTTCCGCCTGTACTTTGCTAGCAAGTAAAACAAGTGAGTACTATAAAAACTCTAAAGAGGATTGCATGAATAACTGCTTACATTGAAACAATAAAAAAATCAAGTGCTGAAGCATAGTGCAGTTAAATATGAATCTGTGTATCTGCTTCTATGGCATCTAGGACAGCACTACTAAGTTTGGTATTTTTATTATCAACTATTCACGTCCTATCAAGGCAATGCAGAGGGTACGTTTAATTTATAAATATTCATATAGGAGGTACAAAAATAAGATAAAATTGTTATACTGTTTAATGATATTGTATGTAATTTTTTTTAAATCTTAAGGGGGATGTACGGCCACTTTTAGTGCAGTGAGAGCAAAATGTAAACATTTCTTCAAATGGCTAAAATACATTATATTTTGATCAAATTTTAAGTCTTTTTGATAAAGATACAATAAATATGCATAACCGAATGCATGTTGTGCATATTTAATCTATACTTTTGCAGAAAAATGCTTTTGATATGCTCCTTAGAACTGCGCAGCTACAGAATTCAGCAGAGCCTTAAAAAATCCAAAAAAATATGCAAACTGTGCATTAATGTTATCTCTACAACCATTTGTTGAGAAAATGACTAAATTTTGCACTTTTAAATGATAATTTTAAGTTTAAAACAAGGTACCGTTGTCTTCAAAAAGAGTGTAAAGAACCATGAAAGTAGTTCATGGATAGCAGCACGTGGTCTATTTTTAGAACAGAATCTTGTTTTCCAGACCTCTTCTTAATATGGAGGGGCATAACAATCTATAAATGTAGAAGAGAATTACAGTTGCAAAATATTTCAAATAATATGAACACTTTTAAAAGAGGAAAGGTGTTATAGTGTGGCTTGAAGTAATTTATTTAGTATTATTATCGAACAGATGTTAAATAGTTACGTATTAATTTAAAAAAATTTAAACTCTTTGATTCCAGGTAAGGAAAAATGAGCACCATCAAAGTTAAAAATTAAGAGTTTGTAAGTTTGCCACAGATAAATTATATTATCTATTAAAATTTTAATTATCACCAATAAAACACAAAGAAATTAGACACATAAAATTGATACGAATGACCTTGTTTCAGTACCTGCTAGTACGAAACGTTATCAAAAAGTTCGCGAAATATCTCTATATCTACAAAACCACAATTCAGATTAGATAGCCAAACACAAGTTCTATAAATAGCATATGCTGAAGTTTTGCTCCTTGTTTGTGATGTCACAATCTGAAAATGACGTCATTATTCATGTACTTTTGACGAAAAATGGTTGTCTCAGTGGAACTCGTTCAACAAACGACTATAATATTTATGGCACATGTATATCTTAGAAATGCCTTTGAAGTAGCGTATAAGAATTTGTTCACAGTTTATTAAATGGCTTCCTATAATTTCAATCAATGATTGGATATCGTTTTAGTGAAGGAAGGCAGATGGTTAAATATGATACTTGTTATGTTGCCCGGTGAGAGCAAGTTTGAAAAGGGATGTGTTTTTAATAAAGCAATATGCTATCAAAGACCTTCAATTAAAATTTTACACTTTGAAAAATACTTGAATATTTCAACAATAATATAAATATCAAATACCTAAAATATTGTTTACTTTTTTATCACCCCTCGTATACTGTGTCAAATAAACATGCATTTACAATTTTCATTACAGAGGAGCAACAGTTGAAAAGGCATGAAATCATTCAGAGTGGGTTAGGAGATTTAATGAATAATTTTTTTTCTATTTGCCCATATTTTCAAAATTACAATTGTACAAAGTAAAGAGAAAAAATCAACATATAAACATTTTTAAAATGATGTTTGGTGGTCCTCCCAACTCAGGGAAAAATTATTGGGTCCGTATTTATAGGTGAGAAAAAAATTCCTTTAAATTTAAACAGAATTGTTGACGGAAGAAAAAGAAAAAAATATCGTGTAATGGGATGTTAAAAAAATGAGTCGGGCCATTTCTAGGCAGTAGATCGGGAGAGAGGGCAACCAAATATTTTTATAACAAGTGGTGTTATAAGGCTTGTACATGTTCCATCACGTCATACTTAGCAATTTTTTTTTAATCTTTGACACTATTTTGAAAAACAAACATAGGATTTTCGGGGCGGGGGGGGGGGGTGGGTGGGGTTAGCACTCACTTTTTTGCGATGATAGACTTAGCGTATGCAATGGACCTTTCTTTGCAAACATTGTGCTCGCTTCTAAATTTCATAGAAACAACTCATTATATTTTATCATGCTTCGTATGTTCAATGAGCGAGAGCTTACAACGTTGTCAACATAATAAGACATGATGCGTTTTTGTGTCCAAACATGACCCCATACAATGTGTTGGTCATTGCAAACATTCTAGCTATTTATGTGAGGTGCCTGAAGGAAATCCTATAACTGCCTATTTTTTCTATCTAACTTCTAAACAAAATAGACATATGTACCAACTTTTCGAATGTAAGACATGTAATTACAATTTATTTTTCATGCACTGCATATTGTTTAACATTTTCAAATTAAATGCTAAGCATCCTCCTTGTAGTGCCTCATTTGAAAATAACTTCTATCGCCACAGAAAAAAGACCCACCGTAATCACATATGTTTAGGACATTTTTATCTTTTTTTTCTTGAGTTTTAAAGAAACCAACAAATTATCAAGACTTGTTCCATAAAAATTAAATATAATCATGGTAATAAACGGATCTATCCACAGCAGATATATGCACATGCCAACCATGTGCTTAGTGGAATAATATTAACGAGGAATTTCGAGTTGTAAACAGAATTGTTTTTCCCGATTTGCTGGAGTGAGATTAAAATCGCGTTTTTTCATTAATCAGACGATGCGATGCAACAAATAAAAGTAGTAAGTAATATAACCTAATTATTATTACTTATAATTTCTTGTCTTGATGTTATTATGGTCGCATTTATTCTAAAATCATTGTAATTCGAACTCTGTGTGACAGAGGAATGGCGGACGAAATAAACACATGGCCTCAGGAAGACACCCATATGAAAAATAAAATTTTCAAGAATTATGGATAATGACAAGAAAAAAACGAAACAAATGGTTGTAGCCATATTATCAATGAATCAAACTAACTCCATTTTCAATGCTTTTTTCATCTCATGAATGCTGTAGCTGCGCAGTTCTAACATGATTAATTTTCTTCTAATTAAGACAAAATAAACTTAATTATTTACTAATTTTGGTCTCTAACAGTGGGTAATTAGTGCATTAGCACTTTGAGTAACTTTGAGCTAGTTTAGTAGAGTATTAAGCGCATTCTTGGTATTTCTTAGTTTACACCAGACTAGATCCAATATGGCTTGTACATCCCCCTTAAATAAACTGTAAGAAAAAAAGACAATTTGACATATTTTAGAATTAAAATTCACTAATCATTGTTCAAATGCGTTTCCAGATCATTCCGTTGTTGTTTTGGATATAAGTGGAATGAAGCAACAAGGTCTTGTATAAGTAAGTAAACTTAAAGGCTGTAGCCCTTTGAATAAATTGTACAAAACTTCTTTTTCATCATCTGATCTTTACCTAAGCTACATTCGTATATCTAAACACAAAATGTGTTTTAACTCATTTAGTATCTTTTAAAGTATTTCAAATTTTAATTCAAAATAATATTATAAGATTTAATTAAAATTGTCCATTTACATTATCTTCAAACATACAAATGAGTATTGTTATAGAATGTAATGTGGGATACACTGGAGTAGTATGTGATATGCCCTGTCCATATCCTTATTATGGGGAGCATTGCCAACAAAGATGTCTGTGTAAAAAGGAGAGCTGCAACATTTCATTTGGCTGCGGTAGGTGAAGATATGTCATAAGATTAGTTTAAAGTATGAATAAGTCCGATTTACATATTGCCGTCTGGCGTCATCGTTGTAGCACTAACAGCTATCATACATGCATAGGCGTCATTTGATCGAAATATAGTAGTGTTGGCAAATCGTACGATTTTTAGTAACCGGTTACTCGCTTAATCTTCCGATCGAGTACCCGGTTACTCGGATGAGTTTTTTAATATTATAGTTTCTGTATGTATTATTAATTTCATTCTTTTGCTTTTTTGAAGACCCCCCCCCCCCCCATATCTTCGAAGAATTTTGATTTTAAATGTCACTTGAAACGGGAATTTGTTTAGCCTAACGATAATTAAATTAAGGAAATGTGTCAATATACATTTAGAAATAACATAAAAATTATTTCATACGTACATGTATTAAATATGACAAATGTATTTTTATCCGAGTAACCGAATAGCAATTTTACTAACCGATACTGGCATCGTTCGACGGTTAACCGGTTAACCGGGTACTCGTTGCCAACACTAAAATATAGATATGTAGGGATATTTTCAAATGTTGATTTTCTTGCATACGTTTTAACTCTAATTATGCATAAAATAAAATACGTGTTTTTCTTGATAAAAACTTCTTGTATAATGTTTTATTCATACGAGATTTAACGTCTGCTACATGAAAGATGCTATATTGTACACGTATTTACCATAAAACTTTACCTTTCTATCATTTTTGTGTTCTTTAATTTAAGCATTAAATAAAATTTGCTCTCCTTTGCGTTTTCAGTTTTGGCCAAGGACATATTCCCAGTGGAAGAGAATTCTTTAACTATCAGTTCAGTTTTCACAACAAAATCCCTTCCCCCAAAGCGCAAATATTTTGGTAATTTTTCTGATATGCTTCATTCCAAAAATATACTTTTCAACTGTATAAAAACAGTCATCAATGAACTTCTGCAGACCACTTTATTTTCGCGACACCTTATTTTTAGCGAGATGCCTATTTGCAATTTATTTGCGAGTCAAAATTTTCTCGAGCTATTGTTTTTTTTTTATTTTTTTATTTTTTTTTTTTTGTTTTTAGTGTATATAATCCTTAATAATACAAATATATGCCAGAATGAAAGTTCTCGCTCATGAAAAGTGATTTAAAGTTATATAAATTTACATACTAGTATATGTTTCATATATTTATAGCACTTGAAATATCTTTTGCTTTTGTTTCAGGTAACATATTCGCAGTAGGAATAATACGGGAGAATGTTGTAACCTTTCCTCAGACAAATTCCTCAGAGTCAATTCTCAATCGTTCAGATACTTTTTCTACACCCGAATCCAGAAGCAGTCTATCCACCACACTAATCGTCTTCCTTGTACCTTTAATTTTGTTTGTGATTGTGGTGATAACTGTACTTGTTGTTTATAAAGCTGTCAAAAAACCGGGAAGCAAAATTACAAATACAGTATACTATGAACCCATTCACAATGACAGGGTACAGGAATCAGACCATGCACCAATGATAAACACAAACATAAATAACAAAGGAAGATACGCTGAATTGAAAGTAATTAGTAAGAACTGAGTGCTTCAGATTTGAATTTCTGTGCTTATGACAATATGCAATGGTAATTGAAAATTTATTAAAATGTTCTAATTGATAAATCACATTTTCAGGTGATCGGCAATTAGAAGGGTTTTTCCGTAGAAATCTCTTTTTTACCAATCAGGAAATAAAAATGTAATTGAAAAGGCAGACATAGAAGCATGAAATTATTAATTTAGGTAGATCGCGGGTTTGTTGACGCAACAATAGGATTTGGCGTAAAAAGCTCACCACGTTTACAGTATCAAAATACAAACAAGCAACAAATATCTTCCGCAGTATAAAATTAAACATATATGAGTACCCAAAAATAAAGCTTGTTTCGTCTGCAAAAATATTTATTTATATATAATCAAAATTAAAAGATTAATCAATTAAGAATTTTTATTTATTTTCAAAAATACAAGCCAGAAGTTAATTTTATTTTTCAAAGTAAAACACGACGGTCATCATCCATTGCGTAATATTGACTTTCAGTTTATTTTGGCGTTATTTTAAAAAATACTGTATTTTACATTAAAAAAATTGCGTCATAATCTGATCAAAACAAAAGAAGTTTATGTTGCACAAAAAAATAGCAAATAGCTAAATGTGGTGTATTACATATTTTTGCCCCCTTTCATATTGCAGCAATATTCTAAATGAAAGATGGACATATGAATCATGATCAAGCATGCGTTCATATTTAATGAAAAATTGCCGAGAATTGCACTGAATTTCGAAAATTTCCCAAAACATTGCTACTTCGGAGATTGTATTCCATTATATAACTACGCATAAAAAATGAAAAAATCCCAGACAAAGTCAGATTGGATTCTCTTTTATTCAGTGATGTACAAAATTAGCGTAATATATATATGATTCAGTTCAAATTTTGAGAAATCAGGGGGCAGAAAAAATGCAATGATGCACTGAATTCTTTAAAGAATATGGTTTTTAAAACAAAAATTCAACACAAGAGAAGACGGAAGATGTCTCTGCACCTGCAAAGCCCCGCATGGACGAAAATCCCTAACTATGCGTTTCTGGGGATCTTTTTTTTTTAAATCAATACTGCATGTGTTGAATAAAATAATCCAGATATGCTAACAGATCGTGTGTGACGTCACTGAATTTTTGGACGTATAATGTAGGGAAACAACTCAGGGACAGCGCCCTTCTAATATCAACAAAAGAGTACTTCCCTGTACTAATTTAACGTTGTTGCATAAATGGTACATTACAAACACTTTATTCAAATGCCTTTAACCATTTCTGCATTGTTTTATACCATATTAAAGAGAGATATTAAACAAAACGCAAAGATATCATATTTATTTTACATTTTAACGATGGCACATAGTGCAAGCTGATAAATAAATGATATACAAATGTAACATGGAATGACAAAGATTTTGGACAAGTGTTCTAAGTTCACACGAATTATGCAATCCATCTATCAGGCTCAGGTCAAAAATAAAAAGAATGAAACAAGAAAATAAATAATTAATAGCTATGTTTAATCTGTTAATGGCACTCATTAAGTTTAAATTAAATAAATAATCACTTTACTTTGAAATATTGGAAGGAAAAAATTTTAAAAATTTCTTTTTTCAGTATTGTGACAAATTTATTTGGGTTCTCTCTGTCATTTTACTTGATCAGGATCTGAAAAAAAAATCAGTCAGCTTAAAAGTTATCCAGACTGATACTGCTTTTTCCGTATTATAATATATATGCAGTAATTATCTGTAATTCAAACAAACTTTCACGTAGGTTTTCAATACTTAAACGTGCAAGAAAAATTTTTCTTCCTTTGAGAATTTTCCCCAAACGGATTAAAGATAATGAAATTTATAAAGACAAAATTAGTAAGTGTTGAAAATTTGTGTCGTTTCATGAAATAAATTTGAAACTTTTTTTTTTCAATAACACTTCAAAATATAAACACTATTATTTGATGCATGTTTAATTACCAAATCTCCTAATTTCTGAGGTTTCCTTGGTTCCTGTGTTGATATGTTTGCTCTTAGATAGCACAACTCTGAAACTGAACATAAATCATATTTACTCAGCAAATAGTATTAAATTTTTACATACATTGCTAATAAAATTGAAAGTCCAGTATTTCTCTTTTTTTTACATTCTTGTTAAAACATTTCAAGATAGCATCGAAATGAATCAATTTACATTGGACAATGAAATTTAGATAATATCAAGGTACAAACCTTAAAATAATTGAAAATATACCCTTACCATGAATTTTCTAAAGATATAAGCACTGTTGATTTCGGATTTTTCATAAAGTTTTTCCTCAATTTATCTTGTACATCCCCAGGATAAAGTTTCCACTGTCCAGATGAATCCTTCCACTCCCAACACGTTGTTGCAGAGACTGAATCTTGAACGCTTGAAGAGCTATTTGTCTTTTGCTTATTTTCTGTATGGTGGTCTTCCAAACGTTTTGAAGTGGAAACTGAGATGTCCTTATTTTTATTGTTAGACTCAGTTACTTCAATTTTTGATAAATTGTCGCCCTCATTGATGTCTTTCTCGTTTTCTAAAGGCGTTTGATTCATTATAGAAACTTGGTTGTTTGCAAATGACTTTGTCGTTGCATTATTAACACTGTCTACAGTTTTAACCTTTGGATCTGCCTGTGCACTTTCTTCGTTTTCGCGTTTTTGCGAGGCGACTCTTAATGATAGACCTGGATTTGAAACCTCTGGACTTGAAACATCCTTTGAAGCACCAGTGCTTCCAAATAATTTATCTTTCAAATCTGTTTCATGTTTATCATTTGTCTTTTCTTTTCCCCCTAAAATGAAAATAGGAATTAATACCTATATCTTTTATTTTAATATGTGTTTACATTTTTGAGTCGGTAAATCACATACGACTCGTACAGTATTTATACACAAATAAAATTTATTTGTAGTTCATGTATAAAGTCAAACGTGCATTTCTTTGAACAGAAAAATTTCCTGTTTTGTATTACCTGCATTGTTTGGATTTCTGAATATTGTACCTGTAACCTTGGCAGAAGGTTTTCGTCTGTTTCTCAAGTTTGACAGGTTATTTGAGATATCAGCAGGGAAATCAAAATCTGACCAAACAGAGTGCTTTACAGGGGGTGCCATATCCATTATGTTCAGGGAGGCACCAGCTTGTTTTAAGTCTTCAGGAGACATCTTTTCTTCCTCAGCTACATGTTGTTTTTCTGGATCTTTACCTTTATTTAGATCTAAAAAAATTAAACAATTAAATAGCTTGAAAAGTAGTTGTAAGGAATGATTATACCAATTATGTCACCCAAATTCATTTTCAAAAAAAAGCTTCTTAATCAAAACTGCAGTAGCTTACCGATATTTGACGTTGCTTTGGACGGAGAAGGCGGGTTCCTTTGTTGACTACTAGCAGAAGACATCAGATTCTGACGTTTTAAAGCTTCTTTCACTTCCGAAGAGAATGGATCACTAGAGAAACAAATTTGTTTTAAAAAATGTTAACTTGTACTGAATTCATTGACTGTATGTTCTATTTTTTTTATTCCAATTCATATACTCAGAAAACATATTCTAAAATGACCTAGACTAGCTAGGTCATATACAGAAAAAATCTAAAGATATCGCCCTGCATAAGATGATATGAATTAAGATCTCACCAAAGTTGAACATCAAACTTTCCATCGTATCCAAAACGATAATTACTCTTGCTACCATTGGGCCAACGCACCTAATAAGAAGACAAAATAAATTTGCAACAACTTACACTCTCTTTGAGAGTATGCAAATAAATGTATGCACATATAAAAAATACGTAAAGCACGCTTTTTATATTACTGTTACTCCTTGTCTTTATATCTTTTTTTCAAGTATCAAGGAATAAACACATGAAAAAATGCAAATACTCATTCTAACAAGGCTTTACACATTCTGTTATTTAAGTATATATTCTTTATCTTTTATCATTATCTGTTAGAAAAGAAGACAAGTGTCTACATCTTTTTGAATGAAGAAAATGTCATTAAAAACCTGAAAACATGAAACTCATTGAAAACCTACGTGGATAATTGCACTGTCATTGACACGATAAACAGCTCCTATACTGCCTGCCCCTCCATCTTGGTCCCCCCATTCCCAGTCCATTCCTTCAAAAATAAATTCTAAGTGGTTAACACAATGTTAAATGTCTGCTTTTTTTGCAAAGTTTTAAGCACTTATCAACTAATAGTTGTTTCTAAGTTTTACACATAAATCAATAATACTAGTAGCTGTAATGAAAAGTAGAATCAACGAACAGAGATCAATCTCCGAAATCCTACAAATAATACAAATCTTTAACATGTTTAAAAAGATAAAAAAGACATCCAGGAATTGCAAAGGTGGTATTTAGTGACTAGGAAAAGTTAACAGCCCCTTTTGACAATATCACCCTGTGAGTATTGCATATAGATCAAGAAGACAGAACATTGAATATAATTGTAAGAGAAGTAGTGAGGTGTGCCTTCATACCTGTACATGGATTATTTGCAAGAAATGATCATGAAATGATTTATTTATTAAGCATATACTAGGAGAAAAGAAGCAGAAAACACACAAGCCATCAGATCTTCATTGTTTAGACGAAGTTTTATCGTATTCAGGTAAGAACTGTGTATAGATTTCTTACCCCTAGAAACCAAGCATCCGACCGCTATCAGCTCATCATTCAATACTCGAGGATCATCACATACTACGACATCATAGCATCCCTCAGCACCATATCTGTATGTATATCCCTTCCCTGTATCCCATTCCACAGAAATCCAACCAGCTGAAGAATAACAATCAACGAAAGTAATTACTGTAACAGATTGGAATAAATCCATCAATTGTCTACTTATCATTAATATTGTCTATGCAAGACCTATAATCAATGTATCAAATTAAAGGACGGGAGAGAGCACACAATAGCATAAATCACTACGTTCATGTGAAAAGCATATATTTTGGACAGTAGTAACAGGAATCTACCCTGTTTTGGGTGTCCTGTCACGGTCCCTGGTTGATGGTTATCCTGGTCATCCCATTTCCAGTCC